AAGTAGCTTAATCCTGAAACATTTGCTTGTCAGTGTGGGAATTGCAACCACAGTGGAGGTGAATAATAAACATGGCACACAAATCTAGTTCTGAGGGAGATGATTTTCAAGAATTTGTAAATCATAGGCTCACAAAGGTTATAAAAGAGACCAACTCTGTCCCTGTTTGTTAGATATTGAATTGCTCCTGCATTTCATCTGGAATGAATCATGAATTATTAGCCACTTATAACTGTGGATTTACATGGTATCTGTTAGAGTAATGTATGTTCCATGTCCTAAAGAGGTTGTAATTGAAAGTCCTAGTTCTGAGGTAGTGCCAAGTCCTTTCTGTGAATTTCACAGTGCCCTAAAATTTCATTGAAGCAAGTGGGAATTGGGCTCAAGTCTGAGCAGATTTGGGCCCCAAGGACTGATCCCAAACCTACTGAAATCAATGGAAATCTTTTAATTGACAACTTCAATGAGCTTTAGATCAGGTTCTACCTGGGTGTTTCGGGTGTGTGTTTTTGTTTGTTAAATTTCCAGTTGGGAGACTCAGACTTCAGCTGTGGTCTGCTAAATAAATGTAGCCAGTCAGTTTCAGATCAGGTGATAGAGGCTCTTTTAAAAAAATATTTTTTTTTTGCGGGGAGGCGTGGGGGGGATGGACACACGTGTGTGTTGTTAGCTCCACGCTTGGACTTGTCTGTTTTGTTTTGCAGGATGCTTTTTAAAATCTGTCATCAGCCACTAGGTCTAGGTGTATTTTAAATTGCACCTCATATTCTGTTATCACTTTTGCTTTTTTGGGGAGTGTGTGAAAGTGTGTAGAAAGAAAAAAATTACACACTGCAGCAGTAGTCAGCACTCTTGACAATTTTGAGAGCTGTGTCAATGGTCAAACTGCAGAGTGCTTTGGAACTGAGTAAGAGTAGCACTTGGATAGTGATTTAAAAATATGAACTCTTGAACATATTTTATAAAACAAGTACATCTGGGAATGGTAAGATACCAGGTAAAGGAACTTATAACATGATGAAATCCAACTGTTTTTATGTACTGATAGTAAGAACAATTAGCAGGTCAAAACAAAGTGCCTTTTTACATTAAATATAAAAGTTTAAAAATTTGTATAGGGTGTTATTTTTCTACACACAAGCCATGTTTTTTTCATAGTTCCTGTTCAGGGTTTAACAGGACACTGACAGATAAAGTCATTTTTAAGAAACCAACTTCCTTAGCTGTATTAACTTTAGAATATTAGAAGTATCTTAGTAAAATAACTTTGAAATTCTGGTACTAAAGTTTTCAGTAATGCAGTTTATTTTCTTACTTTAAGAGATCCCTTAGGCTTAGGACTTGCAATACACACACTGCATGAGTACTAAAGAGCCAAAAAAAGGGATCGGGTCCATTTTCATTACTGCTAAGTAGGATGCAGAAAGGAAACAAACAGGTAAAAAGCACATTTTAAAGGATCATTTTTCTTGGATTGTAAAACTTTTGTTTATTTACACAGTCTAGGCTTACACAGCTAGTAGACCATCCTTTTTAATTTAAAACGTACTTTCCTTGTACTTCCATTATATTTTAAGATTTGATTTACGATAAGCAAATGTGAATGAGGGTAGTATTTTTAATCACATAAATGCCCTCTTGCTGGCTTCACGGTCTTGCCCACATTTTCAAAGGAATGCCTTATAAGCCAGGTGCACGTCCAATCAGACACAATTTATGTGAATTATTCTGTGTTTTTCATTCTGTAAAACTGAGCTACTGGCCAGAAATACTTGTGACCATTTACTTAAGCTCTTGTAATAGTTTACAAAAGGAAATTGTTTCAATTTGCCCCTGAGGAAATCCAGAGGAGGTGGATTTTAAGAACGTTTTCATTATAGGACAGAAAGCTGGTTTTGCATAAGCCATCTGTCTGACCAGGAGTTGGTGAGATCACAGCTGCTTTTTGCCCTCTCTCCGGTTTTTCACTGTGGATACAGTTGAAGGGGCTTCTTGCTGTGGTTGTAGCCTTAACAATGATATCAACAGAGCTTGCAGAAAAGAGGATTTGTGTGGTATTTTATTCTCTTGTGCTCCATGAATGTGGATTTCAGCAACATTGTTTTGTTAGTTCTGTAGTCAGCAACACATTGAAAATAATAGGTCATTTGTCTGGTATTAAGGCTGTGACATGCAGGGCACTCTTGGATTAAACAGAAGCATAATTTAGCTGCAAAAATCAATAGAGTTCTTGATATTGAGGTTTTTTTTCTAGATTATATAAACTGAACAGGACAAATGGTGGCTTTGAGGCCAAAGTGGTGATACTAATCGGATATGTTCTGGTCTCATCATAAAAATACGTTGCTATGTCATTCAGAATGTACTTTTATTTGTATAGCACCTGAAAGTGTTAGGTGCCTGATAAGGGAATGAGACAGTCTCTGTCCCAAAGAGCTTGTATTCACAGCCCTCATCTTCCAATTGGATGGAATACTGTTAACTTTAATGGGGCTTTAGTTAGTACAAAGGTCCAGATTAGTAGATCATATTGCATGACTGGGGCCTAAGAATAAGAGATGAAAAAATGAGGAACAAACAGGAGAGGACTATGGTTACAAAACTAGGGCGGTGCAGTTACTAAAGTTAAGCTACCAGAGAGCACACAGCTATCTGTACATCCTTTAAAAATACCTATTTTTGGTCAAATAACATTTATTGTGTCTCTTACTAATATATAAAGTCACTAATTTTATAACATGATGTATTTGTACTTTAGAAGTACTTTTTAAAAATACATTTATTTTTGTATGTTAATACTTGGTTTTTGTAGATGTGAAAACTTAGTTTAAATTGCTCTTTTTAAAATGTTTTCCCTCCTTTTCTTTATTTGCCCTTCTCTATTCTGTCCTTAGCTGACTGCAGGTTTCCTTAGTGTGTCCTGCATAGCTCTTCAGTTTTGTGTAGTAGTAAAAAACTTGTGAGCTACTTAATTTTCCCAGTTGGGTTTAATACAAACTGAAATTGCACACTGGTGATATTGTGGGTGGAGTGCTGAGAGAACCCAGGGCTATCGCTCAGATGCAGGAGTAGGGAAAACTGATGTAAAACTTCAAAGCCCTGCCCCAGGTTTCCCCCACAGCACACCCCCTGGGGTCTGATTAGAAATGTCTGTTTATAGTTAGCCTGTTTCTCTTTAATGCAGTTGAGTTGGGGAGGTTAAGCTTTTCCCAGTTCAGTATTTTAATACAAAATGAAACAGAAGCTTAATAGGGCTGCGGGTGGGGACCGGGGATCTGCAGCCGTGTCTTGTCTGGAAGGAAAGGTCTTGGGCAGTAGGAGGGAAAATATACAGAAGGAACAGAGGGAACAAAGGGAGAGACAGTGCAATTATACAAAAGTAAGAGCAGAGCAGCTGTGGTTGTAAAGGAGGGAGGCCTAGACTAATGGACAAGTGCAAGTTGAGCATAAAGGTATAATTTATACATGACATATTGTGTGTGTATATATAGCCTGTAGAACAGTTTACAATCAATTGAGATGAAAGGCATTATATTAATACAAGGAATTAATACTGTGACTGGGAATACATGAGAAGTTCTAGTGACCCAGTCCCTGGAACACATTCATTCACAAATACAAGGCCTGTTGGCCGTGATATCTTAATTATGGGGGGGGTGGCTTGCATTTCCCCTGTCTGATAGTGTTCCATCCATGCTAGTTTCATTTAATGAATAATGTTAAAACAAAGGATTTTTTTGTCCATTGAATATTGAAATTGCTAATCTGTAAACTGAGACTTCTACTTTGTTAAGTCATTAAAACAAAAATGGCATAAATAGGGCAACATTAATCTTGTATAGTGATGTCAATTACTTTTGGCTTTTGTGATGGCTTTTGTCCTGATCTAGTTTCTCAATTCAGTCTTGAAGGTCAGTTCCATTGGTTAAGTACAGACAGATTTGATACTAATATTGAGTGTTACAGAGGTAGAAATAGCAGAAAATGTCTCAGACAAAGAAAATGGAAGTTCAAGTGACCAGCCATTCTGAAGATGGTTGTGATTGAAGTTGGTCCAGAAAAGTGTTAAACTTTTTTCATTCTCTCTCATAAAGACAAGTATTGAATACACACAACCATCAGCATGTAACTTACTTCTCCTGACTTTTTCTTTAAAGAAATAAAGCATAGTGAAGGTAAGATTTGTGCATGCTTCTTCCACATAGCTGTCTGTGCATCTCCTCGGTGCTGCAGCACCATGATTGTGGGCCTGATTTCAATAGAAACGATTTTAAATTGTGGGGTGGCTTTCTGAAGTGGGCAGATGAAATAAGTTAAGAACCTGAATGAGACTATAGAAATCGTTTTGCTTGTGATAATAAGTGAGAATTTAAACCCAGGACTCCAGAGGTGAGAGGCATTTCTAGGACCTTGGAGACTTTGGTCCAAGTGGTGGTCCAAGGGCCAGATCCAGTCTGTAGGATGATTCTGTCTGTCCCCCATGAATAATTTTCAGTTGCACGTGCTCCTTGTGGTGGCTGTAAGGCTGCTGTCAGAGTCTCCTCCTTGAGTCAGGAGGTACCCGCTTTCAAATGTCTGCTGTGAGCATATCTGTGTGTTGTGGTGTGTGCTTTGTGGATTTGAAACTTAGCACGTTTAAACGTGCTGCAACAATAATCAGGGTGCAAGTAATCGCAATGGCTGCAGTAAGAAAAGAAAAGTAGATGTAGAGAATAGAACATGTCAAACTAAGTGGTTAGCATCACCTATGGAGGAAACAGCACAGAGGCTCAGAAAATGTATCGGCTTCCTTGAGGAGCGGAATGCAGAGTATAGGGATTTGCCCCTTTGTTTACAAGCTTGGTGGCTGACTGTGGATGAGTGCCTTCTATGCTTTTCTTCACTTAGAAAGGAGAGCCTTGCATTTCTGAAAGAAGAGAAAATAAGCAACATCACCCAGTTTCAAGAGCGGCTGGATGACCAAGCACTTCTCTGCTCACTGGCCTTCCTAACAGATATAACCGCTTATCTCAGTGTACTCAGTCTCTAGCTGCAAGGTAGAGATCAGAGTATTTCTACTCTTATGGATCATGTCAATGCATTCCGCAGAAAACCTGGACTCTTCAGTGTGCCCCTTCAGAAGAATATCACCCATTTTCCATCATGCAAGGAAATCGCAACTGGGATGGCTGATGTTCTTTTGCAGCTTCTTGGAAATTTTATGTTAGATATCTTAGCCGAGTTCATTGCCGATTTTGAAAGTTCTCAGTTATAAAACGCATGAAGTCAAAATATCACAACAAATTGGAGAACACCACCCTTGGCTACTATCCCTGACTTGCCTCTATGAAGACTGATGTCCACATTTGGACTCTAGTGCAAGGAAAACCTTTTCTTCAGGGATCTTACTAAGAGGTGAGTTATTCTCAATTTAATTTGATATTATTTCTTAAGCCCATTTATGTCTTAATGGCTAAATCATCCTAAAAATGATCTGATTCTAGAATCTGGAGTTCTGTTTCTGAATGTGGCCCATGGAGATGCCCCAAACCTAGCATCTGGCCTACAGTATTGAAAAGGTTGGACCATATGTTATCTATACAAGTCCTGCTTACCTAGTCTTGTCACTGACATTACAGACTTCATACTGGAACTCAGCTGTGGTGACCAAGTAATCCATTACCATATTAGGGCAGAAGTTGGATATAGTGGTTCAAAGGCAAGAGTGAACGCAAATACCCCCTCCTAGTAATAGTATAATAGCTGCACAGACAGGCAGAAGGTGTCAGCATAATTATTTGGTTCAGGAGCAGACTTGGGGTTAATAAAGTGCTTGCCATGTATTCGTTCTCCCAGGGGATCAAAGGGACTCCCGACAGCTGAGCTATTCAAATGAAGAGGCGAGAGCCATCTCCCAGTGAGAAGTGCACTACTAAAATGAGGCAGCCAAAAATGGGGCCAGATAAAAAGTAATCTCTGCTCCCTACCGCTTGTCAGAACCTGAAGAATATACTTTGGGGAAATAGCTTTTTTTTAAAAAAGCAGTGAAATCCCTAAAACTGTAATATTCTCCACAGCTGGTAATTGTGTTTAAACAGTGAAAACACACGCAGACTGAATTAGTACTTTCCCTGTTGTTTTAGTTAACTAGTCCTCTTGAAAAAGTCATGCCACAAATGGGACACAAGTAAGAACTGCTTAAATGGCATAAATGGTGGTAGCGTGAAGGTTTGTCTTACTACATCGTATTTTAGTGCTTGGTGGAAAGCTGGCTCATGAAGGTTCTGTCACTTGTTCTATTGTAGAAGATCAGTGACTGGTCATATGCAAATACTGATCTCTGGGAAGTGAACAGCAGTTTTTCACTCAAGATGGCTTTGAATCAAATGAGTTTACAAATATGTTGCATCATCTGCGTCAGCTGTTTGTTGATATAATTAAGGAATGAAAACTCCACCACATATCCCTGTTCATAAAGATTAAAAAGGGAAACTGCCTTGTTTCACTGCCTGATGCAAAAAATGTGGTCCCATAGTTGATGAAGCAGGCGATGGTACTCTTTCATACAGAGGTGGCTCTTTCATATGTTTCTGTGGTGATGGGTGCTGTAGAAAAACTGAAAAGGTTCATAGGGAAGAGCAGGACTTAATTAACATTAATATTTTAATTTTGTGTAATTGGCTGTTTAACAAAGAAGACTGTCTTCGCTTAATCATTTTCTTTTCATCCTAATTTGGAGTCCCCTGCAAACTGGCTTCCACATCCTGCTCAAATTGTTGTTTTTTGGAGTGGTTTCATTCCAATCTTTCCCTCTTCTTGGTGGAAAGGAGGAATTCTTATTCAGTGCCAAACTAGATTTCTTTGGTACTTTCTCAGTTTTCTAGACCACTTCCAGTAGTATACAGAAGTTTAGATTGCACATCCTCTAGGTACTGTAGTAGCCATTGCGCATATGCTGCAGACTTTTTTCTCCTTCTTTCTGATCTGTCTTACTTACGGTCTTCAGTTTTATAGTCACCTTTGCAATTAAAGTAAGGAAAAACATCAGAAGTGGATTCATTGCTGTGCTAGTGCTAGTAGTGTTGGGGCTCATCAGAGGTAGTTTCCACTTTTCTGATTTCTAGGCCGGGGGTTTTCAGGACAAATTATTCGGTGGCCTCAGAATGCGGTCATCAACTCTTGCTTGTGGCTGCTTTCACTCTCTTTTTCCTAAAATACTTAATTAGCTTTAGGAAAAACAAATAAATTCGCACAGATACACGTACAAATCATTGTAATTTATTTATTGCTAGCTAGTAAGTCTGTTTTGAAAAGTGATATTAACAAACATACAAGTATCACTTTTCACAGCAGACTTGCGCAACCCCGGCAAGCCTGGGAACAAATTAAACCCTGGATGGGGGATGCAGTGGAGCCCATAGGGGTGGGGTGATCGGGGGGGCTGGAACCTGGAGCTCTGCAGACAGTGGACAGAGCCCAGGGGATGCTGAAGCTGCACAGATGGAGCTTGGGGCCTGCTGCCATGCAGCCGGAGCCCAGGGCTGGAGCCTGGAGCCCTGCAGCCGGAGCCTGCCGCCCCGCCGGCTCAAGGCTTAAGCCCAAAGCCTGAGCCCCGCTGCCCCTGGGAAGGTGGGCAATTCACTGGCTGCCAGCTCCTCCAGTGTTGTGCCCCAGACGTCTCCAGAGGGGGGCAGGGCCCAAACCCTGCTGGTGGCCCCAGAAACTGACACCAAGACGGTGCATCCAGGAGCAACAGGGACGGGGAGAGGCCGCTGCTTTGCCCCGCTCCCCCCAGATCATAGCCCAGGAGGCTGTGGCCTCAAGAGAAGCGCCTGGTGGCCGCATTTGAGAAATGCTGCTCTAGGCAATGGGGCACAGTACAGGCACCATATAGCACATTTTAAAAGACAGAAACTCTTATGGCTTACAAAGCGGAGATACGGGTTTTGACGGCATTGTGTGTAGTACACACCTTTAAGATGATTGCTCTTGGGAACAGATTGTTGTTCTTTCCTTCAGTTTTCTCTGTGCTACTGCAGTAACACCCAGGGTGCTGAACATGGGAAGGGAAATTAAAGGTGGCAGAACATTCAGACAGAGTGGTGGTAGTAATTTGAGAAATGTCTAAGGAAAAGATAAGGGGAAAGAATTTTCTCTTGAGAATAAGATGTAGATGTCTGTGTTTGTGAAGCATAATAGTGATTTCGCCATATCCTTTTGAGTCCTTAATATGTATTTATAAAGTTGAATCACTTTAAATTTCCCACTAGACAACATGCTACTACATGGCTATATCGGATATGTGCTTTGTCCTCTTCTTGGGCTGTTAGAAGTTGTTTGCTATGTAGCAGTCCTTCTTGTCATCTGAAGATGGAGTTGACTGTCTTCAGTAGGATCCTTTCCCAGGCCCAATGTAGGGTGGTCACTTTTAATATGAGTGCTTTGAGAATGAATGCATGTCCCATCACTTCTTCATTTCAAACTTTTGAAAACCTGAACTCCTTTTTTTCCTTAAATCTTTTCTCTTTTCTTCTTTTCTCAATCTTTGGTGACTTCATTATCTTTCCTTTTGCCCAACTCTCAACCTTGGGGTTCCTACTGACCCCTACTTTTCCTTCTCTCCTCACATATCTTGCCATGCCCTGCTCGCTTCAGTATCTGCTTCTATTTCTCTCTTTCCAATGGCAAAATCTCAGTATACTTTTTTCTGAGCTTCCTCCTAGATTGTGGTAAACTTCTGTCTCGCCATCCAGCTCTTGCCTCTTCATCTAGTAACATAATGCAAATTTCTTTTGCCTCTTGTGTTGATATCCGTTATCCCATACTCCATTTCCCTCCCCTGGTTCCCAGTCTTCTACTTCATAAAGTTCTGTAACTCACCCACATCTTTGTCCTCATTGTCTGTTTTACTCTATGCTGTGTGCATCTGCCTTGCTGAACCGTTCTTCCATTCACATTTCTGTGGGGAATTTTGTCCCCCACACTGCTACATGTGTTTGGAGGAACCAAAAGTGATAAAGAGAAATACTTTCATACATAACACATCATTTGGCTTTGGAACTCATTGCCAGAGGATGTACTCGAGGCCAAGAATTTAGCACGATTCAAAGAGGGACTAGACATTTTATGAGGGCAATAAGAGTATCTAGAATTGTCATAGTTAATGCTAATAAAATAGTATTGGAAGGAGGAGAGAACCTCATGTTTCAGAGTTTGTCAGTATCTTATGATGAGACTTTCGTGCAGGATAGGCAACTCCATAGCTACCTATAGTAGGCTTTCTTACACTTTTTCTGTGAAATATCTGGTCCTGACCACTGCGGGAGGTAGGACGTTGGACTAAGTTGACCATAGGTTTGATCTAGTATGGTAGTTTCTGTGTTTCTAAAGTGCTATGTACACTATGATGTTGTAGC